GAGAGAGAGAAGGGGGGGGGAGAAAAAAATTCCGGAAAAGACGAGGAGCAAGCGAATACACCAATTAAAATAAAGGAAAATCCGTGGATTCTGAGAAACGGCGGATTGAGTTATCGGATCACATGATTAATTCACCTCGTTATCATTATCGCGTTGATTAATGGCATCATATTAATTCACTCACTAACGGGCAATAAGATTATTCTACAAAGCACTGCCATAATTTGAACTGTTGTTACGTTGATTTGGAAATCCTGCCAAGTAATACCACTATTTGATATTGTCTAACGAACGGGTCCTATCCTGCTGAGTGATGAATTAATATATAAATGTCTCGCGTGTCGTTGCTATCCAATAATACTCCGTCTGTCTTCGCGAATGGTTTACTTATATTTCTATAGTCGCCCCTCGAATATGATCTTCGCTAATTTGACCGTAATTCTCTTATCTTTTTGATATTCTTGCCAGAATTTGTCGAAAGCAGATCTCGCAAAGCGCCTGCTACAGGTTTCGTCGACAGAATGCCAGCGGAAATATGACAAAATTGGCTAATGCATGCGATGGCAGTTCGCCAGTAGAAATTGAATGGAATTATCATTTCGTTGCCATTTAAACAGCACGTTTCATTCAAAATGAAATATATATTCTGTTTAAATTACGAAATGAGAGATTCTGCGCGATTTCACTTGGCAACCGAATTATGTCAACAGAATCTGAATTCGACGATGATGTTCTGCTCGAATCTGCTGATAAACTGCTAGCCTATTGCTAATATTTTTCTTATCGAAACAATGTAAATTATTAACATTTTAACATTAGAAGTGCCGAGCGATCGTGTCTGACCATTTTTATTTTTTTAAATAATATCCTTTTTCTTGTATTAAAAACACGACACGACTTTTGAAATTTTTTAATCTTTCGTCAATTTGTTTTTTTTTTTCATTTTGATGGAATATTAAAATCAGAAAATTTTGAAATTGCTTTCTCTCTATCATCGATATCAGAAAAAAGTTAATTAAAAAAGATAGAAATGATCAAAGATGACCGCTTGGTATTAGAGTTGGAACGTTTTCGTGCTCGTTAAGATATCAACGCACAATCGTGACAGGGCGTTTTGAAAAGTATTTCGGAGACAAAGACAACTTCATCGTCGTAGTTTTAGATTTCCCTTTCGGTACGTGATGTCTTGATTTGTCACTTGGTAAGGAGGGATCGGCTATAATGTAATGTAACGCGTTAGACTTTACGGAATAATTAATCGTAAGGGATTAACATAGCA